TTCTCCATGGTGAAGACTCTGACAACAAGTTCAAGAATAAGTAAATCTGTGGCCGTGGGTGCAATAGTATTTGATCATAATTTTTTATTTACTATTATTTTAAATAAAAAGTAAAAAAAAAAATCAACCCCTCAATATCAAATTTATTGCACCCTCTTAAAAGAGAGATATCAAAAAAAAATTAGAAATGTACACCTGTAAATATAGAAGCCATCAAATTATTGTACAAAACAAAATTTTAAATATTACTTTAATTTATAAAATTTAGGTAATATTTCATTTTTTTTTTTATAATTTCTTAAGATATCTCTCTTCGTTTTAATTAGTTTTTTTAAAAATAAATTAAATAAAAATAAAATGATTAAATTAATCATTATTTTTCAAATTATAAATTTTTTATGCTCTTTTTCTTTTTTTTTTATTATTTGGACCAATTTATAAAAAAAAACCTTTCAAAAAAAAATAAATAAATGATTAAAATAACTTTTTAAAAAAAAATAAAATAAATAAATAAATTATACAAATTGATTCAAGGTTTATTTTATTTATTAATGATTGTTAATACATTTTTATAATTTAAGCTTTGAATGAAGAGTTTCTTGAGGATGAGGAGGATGATGGTGATGGTGATGAGCTACCTTTGGCGGTTGATGGTAATTTAATATTGAGAACTCTGAAATTTGAAGATTGGGCTTTAATATTTGATGGATCTGTTTAAAATAAAATTAGTTTTTAATTTTTTTTATTATTTTTATTTATTTAATAGTAATATTTACTTGGCATTATTTTTTTTTTTTTAATATTATACAAAATACAAAGAATTGATTTGATAATTTTTATTTTTTTATTTTTTTTTTATGAAAAATTTTTATAAAAAAATTGTTTTAAAAAATAAAAAAATTTTAATTTTTTATTCATTTCATCATATTTTTATAAAAAATATTTTCGAGCTTTTTGGTTTTGTAAAAAATCTTTTTTTTTTCGGATATTATAAAATTTTTGGTTGTTTTTTTTTTTTTTCGCCATAATTCAAGTGAACAAATCCTCTTATAACTATTTTATTTATCCATGTCATCTGTATAAATATAATTTTTATATTAAACTCCATGTCATCAGATATATTTTTTGTATTTATTTAATAATATTTTATGGATATATTGCGTTATATAAAAAAATGATTTTATTTGTTTTAATGATGTTCTTTTAAACATATAGTTATCATATTAGTTGATTTTTAGTAAAAAATAAAAAACATCAACATAACTTGATACTATAACACTATATATCTAATATCTATATTTGTATAGAATTATAGTGGTACATTTACTTTATTATAATCCAATACAAATAAGTCTATATTAATATACACCCACCCACACATTCACACAAACAATAACCCCATACATGAAAAAAATTAAATTTAATTGTTTAAAATAATAGATATATACAATAATGGTAATATTATAAATTTTGACATATAAGTATATTGTAATAGGAATAAAAAAACAAAAGAGAATAATGATAAATAAAGGTTATTGTTTAATTTAGTAATGGAGTTGATGATTTAATATTATTTTAATTTTTTTTTATTTTTATTTATTTATTTCTTTAGTTTATTTATTTTTATTTTTTTATTTATATTTTAAAATTGTATAAATTAATTGAATTAAATCATTCATTTTCAATATATAATAAATTAAAATAAATAATAATTATTATAATAATAATTAAATAATAAAAAAAACAAAAAAAAACATATTAAAAATGAAGATTTTAAATATTTTATTAATAATAATAGTTTTAGTAAAAATAGTTCATTCTTATGAATGCGGTCCAAATAGAACTTTTGCTAAAAGTGGAGATTCATGTAAGGTTCATGGGGATTGTAATTTCCCAGATGTATGTTATGAAGGTAAATGTGGAAGAATTCGTATGCCAGGGCAATCTTGTAAAGTAAAATCAGATTGTACATTAAATTTTAATTGGGCTGAATGTATTGAAGGCGAGTGTGTTTTAAATATCAAAGTTGGTGAAAAATGTGGTGAACGTATCCACTCATTCAAAGGAAATTGTGTCAAGGGTAGTCAATGTATTAAAGGTACTTGCCAATTAACATCACCATGCAATCAATTTAACTGTCCATTAAATACATTTTGCAATTTAGATACTAAAAAGTGCCAACCATTCAACGGAACCAACTCATCATGCAAAAATGATGATCAATGCGAATCGGATCAACACTGTAATTCAAATGGTAAATGCGTCGATAACTATAGTTCAAAAGTAGGGGACTCATGCACTGATAATTCAGAAAGATCATGCAATTATTATAATGGCGAAATATGTAACACCAATACAAAGAAATGTGAAATAAATCCATCCTATTTCAAATCATGTAATGATGAATCAGACTGTAATGGTGGATTGTGTGTTTGTACTGGTAGCTCTAAAACTGTATGTGTAGGTCCATCAGGTGAAATCAAAGAACCAAAATGCAAAGACTATGAAGCAATGCTCCAACGTTGTATTGAAAAAGAAGGTTGTTCAAATTTAACTCCAATAAGTTGTTCAAAATGTTTTGTTATTTCTGAATGTATCCAATATACATGTAATGCAGTAGAAAAGTTCTATGATTATAAATCAAACTATTATAGAACATTAGATTGCCCAAGTGAATTATCAAATTCTAAATATTAAATTTTAAAAGAAGAAAAATAAATACATATAGGTTTTAAAAAATAATTATTTTTTTTGTTTTATTTTTTATTTTTTTTTTAATTATGATTATTTTTTATTTATTTTTATTTATTTTAGTAAGATCTACAAATTAAATTTATACAACCTCTCATACATTCCATTGAGGTTCTACCATAGGTGATTTTTTCACCATCTACTGCAATAATACCTTCTCTTTCAGTTGATGGATCTAAAATCATAGCATGTACTTTATATTGATCGATTAAATCACTCTTGATGTGATTACCTGTACTTGATTCTGTTAAAATTGATAGCAAGCCTGCTTTGCTTAAATTCTTATCACTTTTAATAACTACTAAATCTATTAAACCATCTGAAAGATGTGCACTTGGTGAGGCGATAAAATCTGAAGCTAAATGTGATACTGTACTTGCAACGATACCAATAAATTCACCTTCTAATTTTTTCCAACCATTTGCTAATAACTCTTGTTCTGATTGCTTTAAAAATTGTTGATTTGGTAGTTTGGTAGTTGGTACATTGTAGATCTCGGTAGATTTCATTAATGGTTTTTCAATGTCATCTTGATCCTCTGAAATGTTATCGTTATAGTTGTTACTTTTTTTAAGTTCCTCTTCTTTTTGTTCGATTTCTTTTGATAGTTCGTCCAATGATCTGTCGGTTGAGTTGTTTAAGCCTATATTAGTAATGGTACCACTATTGTTTAATGATCTTCTTAATGATGATCTAGAGTATTGCAATGGATTGGTTAAATTGTTTTCTGGGTTTGAAACGATATCGCTAATGGTTTGGATAGCATCATCAGACTCGCATACTTCACAAGAGTAGGAGCATTTTGGTATTTTGGCCATTTCGTTTTTTGAAATTTCGATTGCTGGCAAGTATAAAATTTTACCCTTATAGATACGTAGATTTAAAATTCTTATAGCAGCACCTAATACCAAACGTAATTCACCTAAACGACGCCATTTTTCAGATTCGATATCAACATCGCTAACTATACCCCAAGTTAAAGATAAAATAGAGCACCATTTGGATTCATTTTGTTGAATTACAGAGATATCCAATGGTTTGGTGAAGCCACGAATAACAGCTAAAGCACATGACATTGGATCTTGTAAACCTATGGAGCAAGCAATACCATTGCCAGTACCAGCGGGTATTAATGCTAATGGAATCTTTTTAGCCTCTTCATAGTCGGTACGAGATAATAAACCATTAATAAATTCGTGGAATAAACCATCACCACTAATAAATACAATTGTGTCATATTTCTTTGCATTAAATTTAAATCCAATCTTTTTTGCATGATCTGGTCCTTTGGTTACAGTTTTCTTTACTTGAATCTTTGAATCCGAAAATAATTGATTAATTTCATTAAATATACTTTCTGACATTTTTTTACCAGATTTTGGATTTAAAATTACTCTAATCTTTCTAGTTTTTGGATTACCTCCTAAAAATTATTAATAAATAGTATTATTATTGATTAGTTATATTTAAATAACATAATTAATAAAACAAAAGTTATACTTACTTGGTAAAATATTTAAAAATAGATCGTCTATATTTTTACTGAATCTATTTGCTTCGCTAGAGTTTTTGAAAGTAAATTTAAATTGTTTTCTACGTCTCGATTCTTTGGTAATGTCTATTGTATTCATAATACAGGAATATATGGTTACAGATTTATCAGTAGTATCACTACCGACAATTGTATCTGCAACTAAATATTTTGTAAAGTTGTTATTGTCATGATATCTAATGATAAGTGTAGATTGCTTAATTGATAATGTCACCAATCTTTCTTTATACTCTACTTGCTTGTTTTCATAGAGTACATCTTCATCTTCGACATTGGTTACAAACTCCTTTGGAGAAAAATTGCCACTGCTATTAATACTACTTGCTGTTGGTGTAATATTATTCAAACTATTATTTAAACTATTATTTAAACTATTTCTACTATTTCTTAAACTACTATTATTTGAATCGCTATTAATACTCATTATTTAAAATATCTTTTATTTAAACCTTATAATTATTTATTTTATTTTATTTTATTTTATTTATATTTATATTTAATTTATTTAATTTATATATTTATTGTTGCTACATATAAATCTAATTTTATAATAAACTATTATAACAATGGATAAAATAGAAATTGTATATGTGTTTTAATTGATTTATTAAGACGACTATGGTAAAAAAATAAAATAAAGAAAAAAAATTTTTTAAAAAATAAAATAAAATAAATTAAAAAAAAATAAAATTTTATTTTGATTTTTTTTTACATATTTCTTCCTTTTTTGACTTTTCTTATGATAATTTTTATAATTTTTTTAAATCATCAATAAAGGAATTAAATAATCAAATATATAAATATTTTCATTTCCAATTGTTTTTAATTTTGATCTAAAAATAAATTTTTTCTTTTTAAAAAAAAAAATAAAAAAAATGATTTTTTTTAAATGATTTTTTTATTATTATTTTTTTGTTTTTTTTTTAATTTCAAATGAATGATAAATTAGGATTTTCATTAATTTTATATCCCAATTTACAATTTTATTATTTAATATTATTTATTTATATTTTTTTTAATTATAAAAATAATTTTTAAAAAATTGAAAAAAAAAAAAAAAAAAAATTAAATTTTTTATTTTTTATTTTTTTTTAAAAAAGTAAAATTTTTTATTTTTTATTTTATATTATTTATATTTATTCATTCATTTATTTGTATAAATCCTATATATTGTATATTTATTTATATGGAGTTAAATAAATAGTTTTTTATTTTACTTTATATACTTTTTGGTTTTTTATTTTTTTTAAAAATTATATGTATTTTTTTTTAATTTCAACTTACATGTAAAAAAAAAAAAAAATAATAATATTTCACGATATCGTATGATGACATCTCTTTCAAATAACAAAGCTGATGATGGTGAGGTTGTAATGAAATCTTTCGAGACTTCTAACGATAACGACATTAAAGATATAGATATAAATACAGCAGACAATAACAGCTCAAATAATATCAATGATATTCCCCCATTTTTACCAACGGGCTCAACTTGGGAAATGATAGGTGATATGTTACAAAACTTAACAAGCAATCAAATTAAAAATTCAACTTCAACTTCAACCTCAACATCTACCTCTACATCAACATCAACATCTACATCGGCAACCACAGTTCCAATGAGTACTTTAGCATCAAAAGCTGAAGATGATAAAGAAAATGGTGTTGCCACAACAAAAAATGATGAAACCGATAGCAATAATAATGATAATGGTAATAATGATATAAATAGCTCTGGTTATAACTTTTTAAGTGAAAATTGTAAGTATATTTATAATTATAATTATCTTTGACCTAAATTTTTAACACTTTTTTTTTTTTTTTCTCAAAGATATGGATATATTTGGAATTTTACCATCAAAAGACCCATTGGTTTTATCAATATGTCATAAATGTACAAAACCAATTAAACAATCTAGATTCATATCACACTTTGAAAATTGTGTTGGAAATTCATTAAACTCTTCATCATCTTCCTCACAATCATCAACTCCATCACCAACTGATAATAATATAAATAATGGTGGTAGTGTTATTATAAATAGTGTAGATACAAATATAGATCAAGGTAGTGATAATGATAAGGTTAATATAGTATCAGCATCATCGGTCACAGCTCCAGCTAGTAAACCATCACCCGATCCAAAGAAAAAAGCAAATCAAGGTATTGGAAGAGGGAGACCAAAAAAAAAAGTTGATCCACCAAAACAATCTGAACCAATGATTATAGATACACCTATTACAACCAATAATAATAGTAATAGTAATAGTAATAACAATAATAGTAATGGTAATAATATTGACGATGATATACCACCAATACCATCTCAAACACAGCAAAAAGATGGAGTAAATAATGATTCCTCAAATAGTAATAATACTTCAGCACAAACAACAAATACTACAGTAACAGGTTCATCATCATTAAGTAGTTCAAGTTCTGGGATACCAAATAGTACAGCAAGTGGGGAACAACAAATTTATAAAAAAATTGGACAACCATTAACAGCTAGAAAAAGAACATACGATTCAATGAAGGCTTCATCTAATAAATTAAATATCGATGGTTCTGCTTCCTCAACGACTAATGAGGAGAATAATGCAAATAGTAATGTATTGTCAACAAGCCCACACTTAAGTTCTTTACCAGGTTCATCAACAACCACTACAAATGATAATAAGAATGTAGATATAAATTTAAATATTAATGATAAGGACCAATTATTAAATAACGAAAACAATAAAAATAGTGAAAATAATAATAATAATAATAATAATAATAATAATAATAATAATAATAATAATAATAATAATAATAATAATAATAATAATAATAATAATAATAATAATAATAACAACAGTAATAATAATAATAGTAATAATGATAATAGTAATGATAATAATATTAATAATAATGATAACAATCAAAATAGTGCAGATAATAAAAGCAGTAATAATGATAATAATGATAAAAATGATAATAAAAATGAAAATATGAATAATAATATTAATAATAGCAACAATAACAATAGCAATAACAATAATAATAGTGATAATAATAATAACAATAATAATAATAATAATAATAATAACAATAATAATAATAATAATAACAACAACAACAACAACAACAACAACAACAACAACAACAACAACGACAACAATAATAATAATAATAATAATAATAATAATAATAATAATAATAATAATAATAATAATAATAATAATAATAATAATAACAAAAATAATATTATATCTAACCCAAATAGTAGTGCTAACTCACCAGTATTGTCATCACAATTTCAAAATACTGTTTCTGTTTATAATGTTGTACCAATAATACCTTTAGCTTACAAATCAATTACAATTGGTTCAAACTCAAGATTTAAAAAGATGTTTTTAGGAGAAAAGCCAAAAGTATCAATTGTTTCAGAAGATGATACCGATAATACTGATGAATCTGATACTGATGAATCAAATAAACAAAAAGATAGTGTTAGACCATTAGGCACCCCACCAGCAAATATTGGTGTTTTTATATTAAAATCATCTGTAAGGGCTAAAAATTATCAACAGAAATTAATGGAACAACAAATGCAACAACAACAACAAATACATCAACAACAACAAATGCAAAACCAAATTAAACAACAACAAATTCAAATTCAACAACAACAAATCCAAATTCAGCAGCAACAACAACAATTGCAAATACAACAACAATTACAACAAGCACAACAAGTTGCTCAAAAACAACAAAGATCAACTGTTCAAACAACTCAAACACCTATAAACCCACAGTCCGTTTCATCAACACTTTCTATGGCCAATGCCCAACAAAAGATTAGTACATCAAATACATCACCCATCGTAGGAGAATCACCTGTAAATAACAATGCTACAACTACAGCTAATACAAATACAGCACTATTAACTTCACCTTCTACAGAAAAGAAAGAGAAGGAAAGGGAAAAAGAGAAGGAAAAAGAGAAAGAAAAAGAAAGGGAAAAAGAAAAAGATGCAAAATCAAAAAAACTTACTAAAAAAGAAAGAGAAAAGATTGAAAAGGCAAATGAGAAATCAGAAAAAGAAAAAGAAAAGAAAAAGAAAACAAAAAAAGAAAAAGAAAAAGAAAAAGAAAGAGAAGAAAAGAAATCCAAATCATCAAAGAAAAAAGAAGCATTAAAATCCAGTACCTCATCAACTAGCAGTTCTTTACTTACACCTTCTACTACAGATACAACAACAGCAGCAGCAACAACAACAGTGGCAACTGCAACCACAACAGCAAGCACTCCTTCCACAAATATATCTACTCCAGCTCAACAACCCTCTACACCACATAATAGTATTCATTCTCCAAACCAATCACAACCACTACAGATTTCTCAAACACCACAAACACCACAAACACCCCAACCAAATGTGCAACAACCACCTCAGCTATCACCGCAACAACATAACCATTTATCTCCACAGCCTACAGTTCAAAATCCACAAGGTATACCTCAAGTTTTATTACAACAAATGCAACAACAAGCTGCTCAACAACCACAGCTATCCCAACTACAATTAAACCAACAACCACAATTATTGCAACAACTTCAACAACAACCTCAACTACTACATTTAATTCAGCAACAGCAGCAACAACAACTATTACAACAAGCACCTCAAATTTTGCAACAACATTTAATAAATCCAATTTTTCAAGCACCTCCACATGTGATAAACCAACAAAATGTAAATTTATCACCACAACAGGGTTATTCAAGCACGCCAATTCAATCCCCTTTACAACAAACATTCAGCCAATCGCCAAACAATGTACCATCACCTCAATCCCAAACATCACAACAACCACAGCAGGCACAATCACAGCAACAGATACAACAAATGCACTTTTTAAGACAATTACAACAACAACAAATACAACAAGGTCAACAACCAAGTTCACTTGTAAATAATACTTTTCAACAACCTCAATTTGTTGGACTTAGAAATTCTAATGGTTTAATCCAACAAGTTCCATCACCACAGGTAGTAAACTCATTAATACAGCAACAACAACAACAACAACAATTAAACCAACAACAATTAAATCAACAACAATTAAACCAACAACAACTATTACAACAACAGATGATCCAACAACAACAATTATTACAACAACAGCTATTACAGCAACAAAAACAATTTAATCCAAATCCCCAATAATTTTTAAAAAAAAAGCGATAAATAAAGTTTTTCATTTTATATATGTACAGCATTATGTAAATATTTTTAAATGTATAGAAATAAATTTATTTTATAAAATTTAATTTATTTTGATAAATTGCATTTGAAATTTTTTTGATATCAATATCAGTTCGTCTATCTTCTTGTAATGATGGTACAATCGATCTAATTGATTCATATAGTTTTAAAGTTTTATCAGAAAGTTCAAAATTATTATTTTGTAATTTTCTTAAATCAATAGCTTGACATGCCATTAATAATGTCATTGAAATAACATCACAAAGTTTTTTCTCCATATTGGCGGCACCTAATGCAGAGTGTAAACCCAAACTAACAATATCTTGATTGAACTGTTCTGTTGTAAGACTATGTATTGAAGCTGGTGAGCATTCTTGTCTTAACCACACTACAAGGGATGTTTGTGAAATCTGCATTCCTTTAAACCCTTGGTACAATCCTGGGTATGGGCTGAGTGAGTTGGGTAATCCTTTTGAAAACCCATTATACATCATTAATGCAGTCAAAGAGTGAAGATGATTTGCAACCAATGCCATATCAATTTTAATTCCATCCATTGTTCGAGCTAAATGATTTCCCATAAAATTTCCACCAGAAAGAGCATCACCGGTATAAGGATCAATAAGAGGGTTATCATTTACAGATAATATTTCTCTTTTTATTACTACTTTAGCAGACTCTATAGACTCTGATATTACACCTAATATTTGAGGTGCACATCTTAATGAATATACTTCTTGAACTGGTTGCTCTAACTTTGTAATATCAGCTGATGGTGTATATGTTTTATTGCTTGTTATATTTTTAATATCCGAATTTTTTTTTAAATAGTTATTTAAAGTATCGGCAACATGTATTTGACCGGGATGATTTTTTAATAAGTGTATACGCATATCATAGTGTTCTCTTGATGCCAATAAAGCCTCGACCACCAACGCAACTGCACCTAGAGCTGCATTATAAATATTTTCAAAATTATATAAAGTAATACAACTTACAGCACTCATAACTCTTGTACCATTAACCAATGCTAACCCCTCTTTAGATTTTAATACTAAAGGGTCAATATTTGCAAGTTGTAATGCTTTCGATGCATCCATTAATTCATTATTATATTTAACAGTACCCTTACCACACAAAGCATTAGCAATATAACTTAATGGTACCAAATCACCACTTGCCCCAACTGAACCATATTGTGGTATTTGAGGAATTATACCTTTATTAATGTGATCTGCCAATAAAATAATGACCTCTGGTCTCACTGCTGACCATCCTTTTGATAAAGCAATGATAATAATAAATTGAGAAGCTCTTACGTAATCATCTGAAAAACAATCACCGGTTCCAGCTGATAAAAAATCCAATAAATTTGATTGATGATGATCTAGGCTTTCAAATGGTATTATTAAATCAGCATTTCCACCAAAACCGGTATTTATACCATATATTGTTTTATTTTCTTTTAAATTTGCATCCAATTTTTCCCTTCCTTGTTTTAAAAAAACTAGAAGTTTATCGTCAATTATAATTTTCTTTTTTCCATATGATATATTTATTATATCTTGAATTTCAATATCATTAATATTAGTATTTACTATATAACTGTGCATAGTTTCTTTAAAATGTAAAAAAAAATTATTTTAAGATGATTAAATAAAAAAATATAATACCAAAAATTAAAAAAAAATAATAATAAAATTTTATTAAATAATATTTTTTTTTCCTTTTTTGTTTATCTCTATTATCTACTAAATCTAATTTATATTTTTGATTATTTTTCATTTATTTTTTTAAAAGATTTTGTTTATTAACTATTATTAAACTTCATCTTATATTTTTTAGTAATTATTAGTTAGAGTTATTAAAAAAAATTTATTAAAAGATCGCTATATAGGGAAAAAAATCTGTTAATAAATATACAAGGATGTGTTATAATTAAACAATCTAATATTTATAATGATTTATTCTATTATTGTTATTATTAATTTATTATTTTGTTGTTTAAAACATAAAACAAATTATTAAATAAGCTTTCTTCGACAATTTGTAAACAATTTATTAATTGGGTACCATAGTTTGAAATTGAATCTAAAAATACATGGTTCGAATTTTTTACATATATGAACTTTAAATTTGGAGGTAATGGTAATTTAAACTCGGGGGAGCCATGAACAATTAAGTGCTCTAAAGAATCTGGTAACCAATCTTTGGAATACTCATCGTTTGCTATTCGTGTTGGTAATTCCAAAAGCTTTATTGTTGTTGGGAGTGAATCAGAATTTATAGAATGAGTAAAATATTTTGAATTTAATCTTAAAGATACTAAATTTATGGGTAGCGAATTTGATTTTAAAACTGAATTAAATTCATTTCCTAAAATTAAAGTTTTTAAATATTTTGGTAAAGTTGAAGAAGAAAGTATTTGATTAAATCTTTGATCGAATTCTAAATAGGTGATACTATCTGGTAAAGAGCAAGGTAATATTATTTGATTAAAAAAAATACCAAATTTAATACTCTTTAAATTTGTTACATTATGAAGATAACTTGGCAAAATTCTTTGATTAAATAAGCTTCCAAATGTTAAGGAAGTTATATGGCTTGGAATAATCGCACGTTCAAACTCTCTGGTATCAAATAAGCCACCAACGTCAACAGAAACTACATTCCTTGGTAAATCTTTTAAGTACTCTATTGGGTCATTTAAATCTAAAAAAGTAAACGAATTTACTTGTGGTGGGATTTCTCTAATATACATTGCATTTAAACCTTGGAGACTGTAAACACTATCTGGTAATGAGTTTGATTTAAATATTTGATTTTCACCAACTTTAAGTTTTAAAACAGAGTCTGGTATACAACCTTCCTGAATTACTTGATTTGAATCTATGCCACCTAGACATAAATCTGTTACTGATGATGGAATAGAACCCTTTTCAATATCTTGTTGAAAGTATCTACCAAAAGATAGCTTAGTTAGATTTGGTGGTAAACAATTTTTATTATTAACTTTAATTGGTTGATTAAACTGTGATGGAAAAGAAAGATTTGTTACAGAGTTAGGAATTGTTCCAAAAGTAATTGGTTTATTGAAATTTCCTACTACTGAAAACTCTAAACTGGTTAATGTGGATGGTAAAACTCCAAAATCTATATCCCTATCGAAATTTGAACCAAATTTAATTGATTTTAATTTATATGGTAAAAATGATATTATTTTAAAACAATTATTATTACCATATTCTTCATTACCATTACAATTACTATCTAATGTTATATTATCTATCATAATATCTATATTGTTGTTTGGTGTATTTTCTTCTGTACTATAACAATCGGAATATGAAGAAAGTACTGATATTGGTTTATTAAATGAATAACCAAATGTAAGATTAACTAACCCTTCAGGTAGCAAATCTTTTTCTAAATCTCTATTAAAACATCCACCAAAAGTAAGATTTTCTACACTCTTTGGAATACTTCCAATATATAGTTTTTGATTAAATCTATCGGAAAAGATAAGAGTCTTTAAAGTTTTTGGTAGTACATTCGCGAAGATTGGTTGGTCAAACTCAAAACCTAGGTCCAAATAAGTTAAACCTCGAGATGGAAAAGAGTCTATTAAAGAATTATTAAAACTTTTACCGAGAGTTAAAGATTGAATTGTTGAATTTATAACACCCTTTTCAAGTTGCTGATTGAACCAATAATTTAATTTTAAATTTGTTATTGATTTAGGAAAGCACCCTACTTCTAGGGGTTCATTTGCATTATTGCTACCTAGCTCGATGGACTTTACTGTTGGTGGTAAGTGATTTAAAAATGTTACTAACTTTTCATGACTATTTGAAAAAATTAACTTCATTGAACCCAAATATTTCTTGAAAGGATATGCACAAAAGGAATCAAGGTTAAATGTTCTTTGAAAATAATGTATATTATAAAATTTTAAATGTTGTAAAATTAGTGATTTGGTATAAAAGTTACGCCATACTAAAAAAAATAAATAAGTATTTTTTTCTATATCATTATTATCTATTATTTTATAATTAATTGAAATTAATTCTACCATTTTTTATTTTATTTTATTAATATTGTTATTAATGTTATTATTTACTATCTGTTAATTTATATATATAACTATTAGATTTATAAATTTAAAAATATAACTATTACAATCTAATTTTTATTAATTGATAAGGGTACAGATTAATCTTTTTATTTTATTAAAAAATGGATTTAAATAAAAAATTAAAAAAAAAAAAAAAAAAAAAAAAAAAAAAAAATATTTTATCTTTTATGATAATCAAGATGATTTCTTTAAATTGATTTTGTGGAACTGAAGCTATTAATAATATTTTTGGAGTAGTTTTAAAAAAATTTGTTATTATTATTTTTTTGCTTTTTATTAATTATTTTTATTATACATTAATAAGAAATTAATTACAATAAATTTTTAAGAATTTTAGATAACGATGATTGATAGTATTAAGTGTTAAAATGGTTATTAGAAAATCAGTTTGGATTTAAAGGTTGATAATTTGAAATAAAATTTTTTTTTTTTTTTTTAGATTTTTTTACCCACAAAATGAAATTGATTATAATAATGAAAAAAGTAAGATCCTTTTATAAGTGAAAATATTATTGTTGAAAAATATCTTGTTATTTTTTTTTTTGTTCAAAACAATTATTATAATTTGTTTTTGTTTTAACAAAACCAAAAAATTTAAGGGATAATCACAAAAAAAATAAAAAAATAAAAAAAAAAGAAAGGTTTTGTGATAATGTAAAAAGAATTTGTTTGTATTAAAAATAAATATAGTTTTTTTAAAGAAAAAATAATTCAATTAAAAATTATTTGATTTTAAAAAAAAATATTTTATTTAAGCTTTATTTTGATTGTTCTTTATCTTCTTTATCATTTTTAATATCTCTCTCTGTATTATTGTCGTTATTGTTAATATGATTATTAATATTATCAATATCATTGTTGCTGTTGTTATTATTAATTTTATTATTATTGTCATTGTCACTATCATTATTATTATCTTCATTTTTATTATCTTTTTTATTTTCAATTAGATTTTCATTATTTTTAGTTGATGATGTAGATGATGAAAGTTCTTTACTGTTGTTGTTATTACTACTGCCATTATTATTACTATTATTATTGTTATTGCCGCTAATACTGTTATTATCTAAAGGATCTATATTGTTTATTTTTTCAGAAGATCTATTAATTAAACTATTGTTATTATTATCAATTTCATTATAATTATTTTGTTGTTGTTGTTGTTGTTGTTGATTAATTTCTAAACTATCTAAATCCCAATCAATTGGTAATTGAGAAGATTGAATTAAAATTTTATTTGTAATACTAAAATGGTGACAACTGAAAAAACCTTTTTGTGCAGAAAATTGGGATGGTGATGATGCAGTGAGAATTGTATGATTATTATTTGAACTATTGATGATATTTATTTTTTGTTGAGCTTGTTTACCCCATAATAAAAAGATGATACCTTGACGATATTTAGCTAAACACTCGATGGCATAATCTGTAAATTGCTCCCAACCACGAGATCCATGGGACTCTGATGAACCTTTTTTAATTGTTAAAGAACTATTTAGCAAGAGTACACCTTGTTTGGACCATTTTTCAAGATTGCCATGAGTTGTATTCTTGCAAATATTTAAATCGCTTTGTAATTCCAAATAAATATTTGAAAGGGTTGCTGGTAATTGTTTATTGACATGAGTATCAACAGAAAATGCTAAACCATTGGCTTGATTTGATGAAGATGGTGGCTCTTGACCCAATAAAACAACTTTGACCTTATCAAATGGTGTTTCATTAAAGCATCTAAATATTTGATTAGTTGGTGGTGAAATTACAATACCACTTTCTTTTTCATTATCTAAAAATGTCATTAATGATTTAAAATATTCTTTTTCAAATTCTTTTTCTAATTGATTTTTCCATCCTTTTTCGGTTAATGATTTTTTAATTTCATTACTATAATTATCATTAATATTTAAATTACTATTTGAATTATTATTAATGTTACTGCTATTATTATTATTATTATTATTACTATTTGTGTGTACTCTTTTATTTCTATTATTATTATTTTGATTAATATAATTTATATAACTATTATTATCAATTGAAAAAGAAGGTGATGTTGAATTAAATGGTGATGTAAGTTGATTTGAAAAATATGGTGATGAAGGTTGTTGAATTTGTTGTTGGATTTGCATAGGTTGGAAGGTTTGAAACTGTTGTTGCTGTTGTTGATTTTGTAATTGGAATTGTTGTAATTGTTGATAATAATGATTTAATTGTATTTGATGTTGTTCCTGATTTGGTATAGATGATGTTGACTCTTCATGTGATCTTTTCTTTTTATTTGTAGCATTTTGTTGTGGTTGTTGTGAAAAATTCATTTGTTCAAATTGTTGTTGTTGTTGTGGTTGTGATGGTTGTGTATGTGGAAAATTTGTATATGAAAATACTTGTTGATTCTGAATATTATTATTATTAAAGAATTGTTCTTTTGGATTTATAAAAAATGGACTATTTATTGCTTGAAGTGAATTATTTTGAAATAAATTATTAGTTTGTCCAATATATGGATTATTGATATTATTATTGTTGTTGATACTGATGTTGTTACTATTATTATTATTATTATTATTATTATTATTATTGTTATTATTATTATTATTATTATAACTTAAAAATTCATGAACCATATTTATTATTTTATTATTGTTTTATTTTTTTATTATTTATTTATATATACAAAAATATAATAGGTAAATTTTTACTTTTTTTATTTTTTTTTTCTATTATTAACTATTATTAAACTATATGTTCTTTATTATATGATTGTTAAGTTTAAAACTATTTTTTTTTTTTAAAATTTATTATTTTATTATGAAATGATTATTTAAATTTAATTAAATTTTTTTTTTTGTGATTAACTGCTGATAAAAAAAAAATTAAAAAGATTGAATAGGTTTTTTTTTATTTTAATTCTTTACAACACAAAAAAACTTTAAGTTATTATATATAAAAAAATAATAATAAATATAGTTCAAATTTATACAAAGAGATAAAAAAATTGCTTTGGAATAAATAAATTTTAAAAAAAAAAAAAAAAAAAAAAAAAATTTTAAAAAATACACAAAAAAAAATTTAAAAAAAAATTAAATTTTAAAAAAATAAAAATTATTTTTATAATTTTTTTAATTTTAAGAAATTTATAACTATATGGTATACCAATAATATATATTTGAAAAAAGTTTAAATTATAACTATTTATGATAATTATTATAAATAAAAATAAAAATAAAAAAAATAAAAATAAAAAATATTTTTAAATATAATTAAAAATAGATTTTACAAAAAAAGAAAATTTATGGTTTACGAAAAAAAAAAAAAAAAAAAATGATCAAAAAAAAACTATTTTTTCTAAATTTGATTTTATTAATAATATTATTAATATAAATAAATTACTCTAGTGATTAAAAAACCTATTATTATTTTCTATTGTTTAATTGATTTTTTTTTTTTTTGTTTTTTTTAAAAATTATAATTTATAATTTTGTTGTTGATTTTGAAGAAGAGGATGAAAATAATAATCTTTCTAAATTTATAAATGGCTTTTCAATTAAGAGATGAATAACAAATGAAATAGCAAATGTTAAAGCTATATTACCAACATACATATAGGAAAATTCTATGACACTGTAATGTAATAAATTTGACATTGAATAAATTCTATACATGATGACCAATGGATGAACTAAATAAGCGGAATAAGTAAGTTTTGAAAAGAATTTCCAAATACCCAACTCTAAGAACCATTTTAATACACCACCATAACCATAGAATGTAGCAATCATGAATAAACCCAAACCAATGGTAAACCAGGTGTGAGCGAAACCAGAGAACAAAGCATTTTGATAGTTGGACCATGCATTCTTATAAAAGGTGTATGGAATATAAGATAAAAAGAAAGTAATAAACAAAGCTACTGCATAAATGGTGTAACGAGCCAATTTAAAATGATAGATATATCTAACACGTCTACTTGCTTTTGGATCACAATAGATGAAGGCGATTAGAATACCAACTAGATAAGGACCAATTCTATTCCATGGCTTTTGATAAATATCGGTGATAAAAGATTGAGATTGGTTAACTGATGAACTTGACATCATATCAAAGAATGGTGTGAGATGGTAGTGATATGAAATGATGGTCGAATTGATAATGCAACCTGCAATTAAACCAACTACTAGAATCCAAGCTACAATTTTACATTTTCTAAATAAAATTATAAATATTGGTGTAATGATAAAGAATTGCATATCATTTGCTAAATACCATGCCCATGGGAAACATTCATTTGCTAAAGTTGTATAAAGATTATTAAAATATAATAAATTTACCCACCAATTTGCATTACAATCTTCATATGAAAAATTATAATACATATACCATGCTGGACCAGTACCCATAATTGGTATAACATAAGTTGAAAAAAATAATAAAAAGTAATATAATGGACTTTATAAAATTTTTAAAAAAAAATTATTAATAAAACTAAAAAAAAGATATAAAATTAAAAAAATATAATAATTATATAATTACCTTAGTCTAATAAATCTATGAATTAAATACATTAACCAAAATTTAATTGTACCAATATTTGATTTACTATCATTTTGAGTTTGATTTTGATTTTTATTCAATTGATTTAAAACTGAATAAACTACTAAAAAACCAGATAACATGAAAAAATTATCAACAGCAAATTCACCAGCTGGTACAGCTTGAAAAGTGAATGGCTTAAATGCATAGTCAATGATATACATTAAATTATCGTAACCTAAACCTAAAGCACCGAATAATATACTGTGACCTAAAATTACCCAACATGTTGATAATGTACGGATACCATCCAATGAATCGAAATGACGCTTTTGACTTGAATTAAATACTAATGAATTGAAATTCTTTACTAATGAAAAGCATAATAGATATTTTATAAACCAATGATTTGTATTTTCAAATTGATCCAATATTGAAAAATAAAATGGAGGTTCTGGGTCTTCAATTCTTTTATTGGATTCATCTTCATCATCTAAACTATTATTATTGTCATCACCATTACTACTATTACCATAACTTGAACTATTATTTACATTATTGTAATTACTTTCAAAATAACTTTTTGGATTTAATAATGAATATGGGTTATTGTTGCCCCCATATCTCTTTCTAAGGGCTACCAATTTGAAAAAGAATAAATAATCTACCAATGTACCAATTATAACATTCAATAATATAAATCCTGAAATACCTGTCATAACCCATGTTCCTACATTTTTTGTGGCTGGTGTAAAAGTTGGGTTGGTTTCATTATAACACTTTAACATTGTAGTTGCATTAAGTGTCATATTGGATTGTAATAATGATAATATTGAATACTGTGTCATTAAACCTAAGACATCCTCTGTTGAGCAATAAATTGCACTTGGATAACAAACCCCAACTAAAACTGGTAACAATCCATCCACTGTACCATCAAATAAACAATATTGACTTACATTTGATGGTAATGATATACATGAATCGTAATTTCCCAACTCATTAAATCCAACACCACTATACATTGCTATAAAAATCAAAATCAAAAAAATATATATTAATTTTAATAATTTTAAAATATTATATTTAATACAAATATTAAATACTTACCCATTAATGGATTACTCATCATAATTCCTAAAAAAATACTTGAGCAATTATCTGAAACTGAATATTCTAAATTTGAAATTTCTTGCATAAATTCATTTTTATTTGTATTTTCTTTGTTGTTTTTGTTGTTGTTATCGATGATTGTTGTGTCTATTAATTTCTTTTTAATTCCTAATAATTCATTTTGATAATTATCAATACTATTGTAATAATTTTCTATATTTTGATTTACAGGTAATGAATCACCATACTTATATCTTTTACAATCAACTAAATTTTGATTAAATAATAAAATGATAATTGTTAAAAATTTAATTAAATTTAATAAAATTTTCATTTTTTTTTTAATAATTATAAAATATATATATAAAAATATATATATATTATTTATTATTATTTATTGATTATATAGGGTAAAATAAAAAAAAAATAAAAAAAAAAAAAAATAGGAAACAAAAATGATTAATTTCGTTTTTTTAAGCAATAAAGATATTTTTTTTTTAGGAAAAATATAAAAATTTTAAAAAATAAAATAATAAAAAATAAAAAGATTTTTATATTACATATAAGGTTATATATTTACATTTATATCTATTTTTGGAAATATTAAATATTACTCTAAAATTATTTAGTTTTTAGTTTATTTTTTAATTGAATAAATAATTTCGTTTTTATAAGTTTTATAGATATTTTTTTAGATATTTTTTTAAAATAAAAAAATTATGATTAAAGTTTATATATAATTAAATTTAAACTATTAAATAATTAAACAAAAAAAAAAAAAAAAACAATGGATTATTTGTAATTTATGTGATTGAAACTGTAAAAACTTTTTCTTTTTCTTTTTTTTTTTTTTTTTTTTTTTAAAAAATTAATTTTTTATTTTTCCATTTTTTTTAATTTAAAAGTTTTTTTTTTTTTTTTTTTTTACCCCCGGATTAATAATTTTACAAAAAAAAATTTTTTTTTTTTTTTTTTTAAGGTTTTTTTTTTTAAAAAAAAAAAAAAAAAAAAATATTTTTAAATTTTTAAAAGGGAATTAAATTTTAAAAATTTTTTTAAATTTTA